AACGACGTCTGGTGACCATCGCCCCCTCAGTGGAGGGCAACCTCCGATTCTGGGGGTCCCCAAAATATCTGCGCAGGGAAACTCCACTGGGGTGGATGACCTCCTACATCACTGTGTTCACAGATGAGGAGGACCTGCCTAGAGAGAGCTATAGGTGGTGGCTGGCCTCTGACAGAAACTCGGCACAGGGCAGTAGTACTGGTCCTACAGCACTTCAAACCCTTACTACAGGGCAAACATGTGCTGGTGAGGAGCGACAACAGCACCACAGTGGCTTACATCAACAGGCAGGACGGAGTCAGCTCCGCCGTCTTGTTGAGCGCAGCGGAGAACCGGTGGTTACTGGTACAGCCGGGCGATTGGTTCACAAACCATCGACCTGAGGGACGCTTACTTTCATGTCGAAATTGCTAGAAAGCCAAAACACAGGAAGTATTTGCGTTTTGCCTTCCAGGGGATAGCCTACGAGTACAACAGACTATCGTTTGGCTACTCCCTGTCCCCACGCACATTCAGCAAATGTGTGACCACAGAGCTTGAGCCACTTCGCGACCATGGCATGAGGGTTTTATTTTATCTCAACGACCTCATAGTCATGGCCAGGTCCAGGGAATGGGCAAATGTTCCACACAGCCCAATTGATCTTACACCTAACCAAGTTGGGGGTTGCGGTCAATTGGAAGAAGAGCAGTCCCATACCTGACCAGCAGGTGGGGTATCTGGGGATTTTGCTCAATGCAGCCCCCAACGAGAGCGAGGTGTCGAGAAGGAGGGCAGGCTACATGCCACTCTGTCAGAGAACAGACAGACGTGGTGCGAGGAAGGGAGTCTAGAGCCTCTGTCCGGTACATTAGGCTCTATTCTATCCTGGCTATAGCTATTAGTAGACAAGGGGCTTGCTCATGCCACAGTCAAGGTGTATGCAGCAGCCATCTCGTCCTGTCATGCAGGATTTGGCGGCAGACCAGTCTTTAGCCAACCGCTTATGAAGCGTTTTTTGAAGGGGATCAGGAGACAGCGCCCAGTGGTGCATGTCTCCACCCCGCAATGGGAACTGCCATTGGTGCTCGAGGCTTTGATTACTGAACCGTTGAGCCTCTGGAGCTCTCCTCCCTGTATGCGCTATCATTGAGAGAGAGAGAAGCAAAAGGAAACAGCTTTGCTACTTGCTTTGACTTCTGCCAAGAGGGTATGCAAACTGACCGCTCTATCGGTGCACCCGAGTTGCCTTCTGGTTTGTGGTAACCGTAGCAGGGCGACACTCAGACCGAACCCCTCCTCTGTTCCCAAGAACCTAAGGAGTTATTCCAGGTCGAGGGTTATACAGCTAGACGGCTTTAGTCGTCCACCTATGCACGGCGGCGTCTTGGTCTACGCCAGGCCCGTTCATAAGGTAAGTATCTCTTAGACATGTCTGGCTCCTTTTTCATCGTCGGTGCTTGCTGGGGCAACACAGTACTGGTGAAAGGAGGAGGGTTGTAGGTCAGTAAGCTGTATCTGACCCCCTTGGATGCACTTACGTTGTCCCATGTTCCTTAGGGACCTGGGAAACGTGGTGCGCAGTACCTGCACCTGCAGGGTGGATCTATGGGCTTATTCAGACCAATTAGGCTCTACCCAGCCAAGTTAGCTGCGACCCCGACTTCTCCACGGTCTCAACCGGGTGATAGGAAGTTGGGGTGTGGTGGCTGTTAACCAAAGGCCGGTCAGGGGCAGTGTGGTGGGTCGATGTTGTGGGACGTCAGGGCGTTTATCCATCGGGGCTGTACCCACAGAGTCCAGTAGAGGGCGGAGCCTGTGTGATATAGAATGGTGGGTTACGTATTGGAACCCTAGTTCTATAAGCACAGGCGGAGCCCTCTACCTAGGGGCCCTGTCTTTCCTATGCCGCTCGCTGAAGAGGGTGTAAGATGACAGTCAGGAGGCGTAGCCGCCTTATATACTGTGAGCTGCGCGCGCATTCAGGTAGGCTCACCCTGATTGGCCGTCTACGTTTATACAACTTCAGTGTGTGAACGCTCACGCATCATTGATGAGAGTAGTACCCATAGAGTCCAGTAGAGGGCTCCGCCTGTGCTTATAGAACTAGGGTTACAATACGTAACCCACCGTTTCTCAACACAGAGAGGCCCAAAACAGTAAAAAGCTAGCTCATCAAAAAGACAGAGAGAGAGACGGGGGATAGTTTATATACAGATCCATTCCCACCACTTCATTGCCAATGTCTTTATGCCATGAACTTCAGCTCTCCAGCATGTTTGCCATCGCCTACCAGTACCTGCTACCGGGAGCGCTTGTCCACCAGCGACGCTAATGTGTCGATTAAAGGTTATAAATGTTTGTATGTTACTAGCTCAAGTTTACTGTGTTTGTCTATAATTGTGACTTGGATGAGGATCAGATCACATTTAATGACCAATTCATGCATCGTGTACTTGGCTTTTTGTCCACTTTATAAATCACGATTTGTGCAAGACCTTAATGTCTTAAGCTAAAACATGTTAACACCGACATTTCAGCCCTAAAATCATTTCGTGAAGCACAATTGCTCTGCTGGGATCTAGTAAATGTTTTCATTGCCTGATTTCTATCTCTCAGATGTTTTTTCAGAAGTTTGCAAGACAACATATTTTCAATTTGAACAAATTAATATATAACTCATGTTACAACGATTAAGGTCTGATTGATTAATGAGGGAACATTGTTCTGTCTCCGCTTCTTGAGATTCACCTTCAAGCCGTTATGCCCATTGTTAATGCACACACACAAATACACACATGGTAGTCTAGTACTGTAAATCAAAAGGTGGATATAGCCCTATTTTCTTGTTCTTGCATAATCAATAAGAAAAAACCCCAGGAACGAAAACTACGTGGCAATGGAATCATTCCTTTCATCAAAACAAATGACAGCATAATCTCATTTAGCTCAGAGGCAGCAAACCTTTGTTTCCGTCATGTGTCACAAAGTATACCTGCCCTCAGGTTGAGGCCATGGCTCCGTACACAGGAGGAAGAAGAATTAGGAATTATACTGATGGGAAAGATGAGAAAGATGACGAGGAACATGGCAATAGCAATTAGAAAAAAAAGAGATCAGAAGATAATTTGCCATGATAGATTTATGAAAATGGTGTGGTAAGTAGGGCAAATCCCAGAGTCCAAGCATAAGCATTGCAATAGATTTTCAACAAATACATGTATCAGTAGAGGAAGAACAGAATATGCAAACAGCAAATCCAACAAATAGCAAATCCTGGTGTTGAATGGACTAGATATAAGATATGAAGTCTGTCGCTACAAAAGTCTTTGTGGATAATCAAAATAATAGCACAGATATCGCAACGTCCTTGAAATCTGACAAAAACCTTTTATGGTGGTTCTTTTCCAGGTACATTTGGATGGAATATGTTGGTTGTGCTTTTGAAGAGGAAGATTGAAGATTCAACTTATTGTCATTACTTAGTTTGGGTACTATGTAACGAAACGGTTTCTCTGCATTTGACCCATCCTAGTGTTAGGAGCAGTGGGCTGCCATTGAGTATGGTGCCAGTGTAGGGAACGGTGCCTTGCTCAGGGACACCTCGGTAGCACTTGGTCTTTCCGGGACTTGAACTGGTGACCTTCCAGTTGCCAAGCCAAGTCCCTATGGACTTCGCCACCACCTTCCTTTGACCTCCAGAAATACTTCATAATAAAAAGAAGGACAAATCACAACCAATGCTCAGGGATACAAATCCAGCCTTTGGATATAAATGTAATAACTGTAATCAACAAAGCAAACATCAGCTGCATAAACCACTTCTGTACCAGTTATTAACTTAACTAAATACCAATGAAACCAAACAGATCAGATTTTAAAGGGGACCTATCATGCAAAATGCACTTTTTTATGTCTTTTATACATAAATATGTGTCCCCGGTGTGTCAGGGAACTCACGCAGCGTCAGAAAATAAAACCCTCTCTCTTTTCCTCCGTACCCAAATCTCTAAAAACGGGGGGTACAACGGAGCTGATCCAGATTTGCGTCCGATATGACGTAATATCGGAAATGTAGGCTGGCTTTACACGCACGGCTCTATCAGAAACGTTGCCAACTGTTTTGGACGTCATATGGTCAGTGCATGTTTACATTAGCATCGCTAACACTCAGAGCTAACCTGTACTGGAGAGCATGTGTGTGAAGAAGCAGGAAATAAAAAGGAACTCACCTTGTGGTATAACCGGCAAGAGAGAAAGCTTTTGAGCTCCATACTGTTTCAGAAATAATCCTTGATAATCCATGATATGCCGTTTCATCACGGCAGTATTTAGTTTAGACAGTAGCTGCAAGGTCCCGCATGAGCTCAGCCCCCTCCTTTTTTTTTTTAAGCTTTATACCCCAAATCAGCACTTTTGAAACAGGAAGTGAAATAGAGGGATATGAGGCATGGCTAGAATGGGTGATCTGTTTGGTATTTTGAGCAAAACACTTCATAGACATGTTTTTTATATATTTGTATATATCTGAGATCTATGCTATTGCCTAAAAATAGCATGATAGGTGCACTTTAAATCAATCGTTATAATCAGAACCACACATAACTAATGATCTGGAAAATCACAAGCAGCTAATTCAATAACCAAGAGGACAGAAAGAAGAAGAAGAGGACACAAGAAGAATAGGAAAGGAAAGGGAAGAAGGAGAAAAGAAAAGCAGTCCGGATTTGTCTAATTCTAGTGTTGGCACTCAAGTTAAACCTCAGAATGTTACCAGCAGGAATATTACGCAATACCAAGAGCGATTAATGCATAAAAAGAAAGAAAGAAAGATCTTCAAACATTCCCAGCTTAAGACTTTATGCTAAGCTAACATCAAGGGTAAATATGTGCAGCAGCACATGTAACCACCAAAAGAGAAAAAAAGGATATTTAGTAAGTAGCCTAAACTTGTGTTATCGCCAAGAAAAGAGAAGAACATGACAACAGTGTTTGTGTTCCAAACGCAGCAGGTTCCTTACCTAGGACGCCCAGCCGGTAGTTGACAGTCATGACAATCACATTTCCATAGCTGGCCAGGATGCTGCCGTCAAACATATTCCCTGTTCCTTCCATGTAGGAGCCCCCATGGATGAAAACCATCACCGGCTTGGGGCTTCCACTCTCCCTAATGTCTGGAGAAGGGGGGAATAAGAGGAGGAAGAGGAGGAAGTGGAGAACGAGTGATTAGATGACAGATTGAAGGTGACAGCCAGAGATGAAATGTCAACACTTTAGGGGGCTTTGGCCACCTTGTTTATTTAATTTTTTTCTGGGTAATATTGGCACACTGGCTTTTTAACATGGAGATCTTGTTAGTTTGAGGCGTCAAACCAGTCATTTCTCGACTACACTTTATGTTTGTGGTGATTGAGTTTTCCTTATTTATGTATATTTAAATCCATACAGGTGTTAATGAAACAGGATATTAAGTACCAGGGGTTTTAATTTTCCTCCAGGCAATGAACTGTCAACATGCAAGAGTGGCAATCTAACCTGTCATATCATGTTGAGGTAAAACTGCGATTAATCTGGAGGAAATCTAATAGAAAATGGCATATTAGGTTGAACAATTTTGTGGACAAGCGCCGCTCTATTGAAACGTTAATTTGTATTCAGGTTAGCAATTCGCAGTTGTTTAGCTGTAGGAAAGGTTCACCTTGATTTCGTGAATATAAATGAGCCCAGTGGCAACAGAAGTAAAAACTGAATGGGACACTCTTTCATAATTAATTTAAAGGCTTTGTTAATTTGAAGGACAGGATGTTGATGCAGCTTTTAAATTACAACTCAATAATTTTCATAAATTACAGTGTGAAAAGACTGTGTGTACAGTAGCCAGGTTTACTTTCTTACATTTAATAAAAATCTGTAAACTAACCTAAGAATCATATAATAAAAGAAATGTAACCGGATAACTTCCTGTTTTAGATAACCCTAACTCTACCTCAATATCAAATGCAATGAAAATAGAGCAAGAAAACTCCCTCTGGAGGGAAATGTGGGGTTTTAGCCTTTGCAGACCCTTTACATGCACTAAAAGCTATAACACACATCAGGAAAGAGAGAACCCCAGAATGAATAACAGGGCCTCTTTAAAAGGTATTGTAACTCTGTAATCCTTCTAGTAATCCCCATTTTTTAAAGTTGTACCAGTAATACGATTATGCATTTCTGTATGTAACTGAAAAGGAATACAGTGACCTTTTTTATATCCTAATGATGCAATCCAATTACTTGTAATCCATTTACTTCCCAAGCCTGTATATAGCTACATAAAATATGCAGAGGATGATGAGTAGTCATACTGACACGTCTTACATTCCAACAAAGCAGGAGATGGTTTCTGCACATAATAATATTTTCTGTAGGTGTGTAAAATATTAAGTCAAAGTAAGGGGAATCTTGAGCCAGCTGTTAGAGGAATTAGCTGTATTAAAATGTGTTACATCTGGCTGATTATAGGGGAAGAAAGGAGCTCTGGGTTGTAAAGATTTAGCCCTTGACGCGGTTCTATTACTGTCTGGATTGTGAGCAAAAAGCATGAGACGACTCGCAGATCTAACAGTATGCTGCAACCCACGTTCAAAACAAGGTTTCACTTTCATCTTCTGCATCTCCGAGACGAAGCTTTTCATCTGGCTTCCTAACTATCTCCATCAGTACATGGCGCGGCGCACATCGTTTATCCCACTGATGTTTTACCACTGAGGGACTCGGGGTCCAGAGAGAGATCAGTGAGTCTGTGCAGAATTAAAAATTAACCAAGCAAGAAAATAGAAAAGCGTTACCTTTGAGACAAGAGAGTTAAAAAGAGATCTTCAGTCGTTAAGGGAGCCAGAGAGGCAGAACATTAGTGTTTGTGTTCTAAAGTTCTCCTACAGTGTGTGTTTAGAACGCACACAACCCAAAGGCCGGACAAAATAGTGCGTACACCTCTGGAGAAAACTTCAACTCTGGATGAACTGGATCACAGTAACAATGTGGCACAATTATGCTTTTACATTGTGGACAAATATGCTGCTGTTAATAATGCACAGCACTATGCTCCCTTTGATTAACTATTATCTTATAATAACACTGTGTTTTAAATAATAACAACGCTACTCTGGCAACAAACAAAAAAGTGGGTTCACCCTCAACTTCACCTCGCTTGTGTATGACTTTTTTATGTGTTTTATTTTATTCATAGAGTAAGTGAAGATACACAGGAAACAGTAATAAAGGGGCAAAATGCAGCAAATTGAACATTTAAAAGATTACTGAGGAAATATGACATAATGCAGCGGAAATTACAGATGGAAACTAAATATAACAGTGTTTCTACATATTAGACTACAGAGAAGATAAAAAAGACCCATCCTCAGAAATAATATCTTAACCCATATGTTGTGTTTGGGTCTCTTGTGACCCTTTTCAAATTTGAATTATATAATAACTACCCTCTAGTTTTTTTATCGCAACAAGGCTTGCTGATATCCTCCACAACAGCTATATAAACACCACAAAACTAATTTGTTTAGCCAAGTCTGAAGGTCTCTCTAAAAAAAATTGTATAATTTGGTTTGACTTTTTTGGGAAATTGGATTATAATATTAGTCTATTATAGTCAGATAACATAATGATCCACTCTCTTCACTATAGGGAAAACAATGAGTGAATGCATAATAAGTTAGTTATGATGTAGTAAAAACAATATTGCATGATAGTCATTATTTTTGAGTGTTTTGGACTGAGATAAATCATGGATCAAAATTGACCCGTGAACACCATGAACGGAAACAGCAACACAAGGGTTGATTGACAAAAGGAAATCAAATCTGGACCGAAACCAAAAAAAAACTGAATAACATCCACGTATAGGCAAAGTGCTGTCTCCTTGTGTGTTTGTGTTTGTCCTTTCCTTCCATTTCTCTCGGTGCACAGTTCATTACATCACTTCTATCATTCTCTGTCCTTTGTTTGTTTTTGTTACTCCTAGTTTTTCTGATCCCTATTTTGCAGCAGGAAGCGGCCACAAAGTAGCAGCACATCATAACTCTCCTCTGGATGGCTTGACAAAAAAGGTCAGGGGATTATAGAAGGAGTGTGTGTGTCCATTTGTGCGGCTCACAGTCCAGATATACTCGTGTACCCTCGCAGAAGAACACTTAATCATCAACATGTCAATGAAGATGATTCTGATATTAATGATGGTTTTTAGCCATGATGACAATGGTGATAACCATACAAGTCATGTTAATAAGGCTGATCACAATAATAATGTGTCCTATTACAGTGATGGAAAACATGATGATGATATTAATAAATGGATGAAAATGCTTATCCACGTTATGGTAGTAAAGATGTCGCTGACAACAACTTTGGCACTGATGATGGTTTTGATGACACAACCATGACAAGGATGATTATGATGGTGGTGTTGGAAGTTATGTAGATGACATTGATAATGGAATCAACCATTATGGTGCTGCTGATCTTAATGTTGATGCCAAATCATGACATTGATAATGTTGATGAACATATCAATGGAAACCATAGAAACAATGTAAACCATAAGTATGGACATAAAGCCATAAATGACCATAAATGATGATGTGGAAGTCAACCACAACAGTGATGTCAACGAGATGGTAATATCATTCTGGTGTTGAACATTGTGCTAACAATGAAAACGACCATGCAGTTGATGATGATTTTGATGTCCCAGCAATGACAAAGATGATTATGATGGTGGTGGTGGATGCAACCATGATGGTGCTTCTGCTGATGCTGATATTGATGGTGAAGATAAACCATGACATTGATAATGTTGATGTTCATAGCAGCCACAACGGTAAGATGATGCCAGCCAAGGTTGGCCTCAAAGCCACAAACAGCCATACAACTGTTAGATGTTGATGACAGCAACAACCAATGGTGATGTTGTAGTTGATGCAACTGATGGTGACAGCCACCAAAGTAAAGATGACTTTGATGAAGATATCCAATAAGTTCATTAGAAAAGACAAGATCATGGTGTTGATACCAAGATGGTAATGCTCATCGACAAGATAAGACATAATGATGGCTGACGATGAGTTTCATTTTACAGCCATGATAATTATGATGATGAAGAAGATGACGTCAAAAGACTTAATTCCAAAATGTAAAATGATGATGATGATGAAGATGAAGATGAAGATGATTAATGGTTCTGATTCATGTATAAATGGTATCTTAAAGCATAAACATGGATTATTTCACATCTAGTTTCTCATATCTGTATACTCTGTATAAGCTGTATGGCACCACACTGTTTCCTGTATGTGAATATGTGCTCTCAAGTATTACATTAATATATTCATTTCTGCTGCAGTGGGATCCTTCCAGCATGGCTGTCTCTTCTTGTTCAGCTCTGAAGGTCAGCAGTAATAAGGTAAGGTTAGCAGGAAATTGTCTTTGCAATGTTTGAACATTTGATGGATTTACCTGAATATACTGTCTAAAACAAGCCCCGGTGTGTGTATTGAACACACTGTACCTCAAGGTTTTAGGTTTATGCAATCCAGCTTGCTACGGTTCCCTGGCATCTTTTAATGGGCTGCCTCAGCAAGACTTTGAGCGGAAACATCTGAACCCCTCTCTCCTTGAATTATCAATTCATCTTCATTGATCTGATGGCAGAATTCATGTCTTTCCGTAACCTACTTGCAGACATATTTATATCAATATGTTCTTAATTATTTGGTTTACATAACCGTAAGTTATTTTAATAAAGGGGTTAGAAAAAGGTGGGAATTGTACTCCAAGGGTTTTTGCAGCAAGATGAAAGCTTGCTTTGAGAAGAGCCAAAATGAGATGCTATCTTGTAGCTACCCTGGGCAAGACACTTCACCCCAAAGTGCTCCTGTGGGGATTGCCCACAGTATTGAGCATGTAAGTCGCTTTGGATAAAAGCGTCTAACAAGTAACATGTAATGTAATGTAATGTAGTGATTCAACCATTCAATCTTTCCAGGCATGAGTTTGTCAGAGGATAGGTACCATGCCAACATGGAGTAGATCTGCTTCCTTGAGGATGAGGTTATGATCAAAGAGAGTCAGGTGCTTTAGATTTCTCTGAGCAAACCCTGAGAGATGCCCGAGGGCTGTT